AGAACATGCTTACATTTCTTTGTCTCTTTCACCTGTCCTCTATATCTTTTAATTTCATCAAGTGGACTAGGCAGGAAAGGGTTCCTTGTTCAACACTCAACTACATATACCTTATTTTATTTGAATCTTGCAATAACCCTATGAAGTGAGTACTATAGCTATTACCATCTTCATTTTATAGATGGGCTCAGAGACTTGTCCACAACCACACAGCTAGGAAATTTATTCCCATTTTGCAGATGAGGAAACTGAGGCTGAGAAGGTATGTGTCTCAGCTAAGGTCACCAGCCAGTAAATGTCTGGAGAAGAATTTGAACCCAGGTCTTCCTGACTCTGAGTGCCCCACACTATCCATGTTACCTCCAAAGGCAGTAAATATCTGTTGTCAGTGATGATAATGATGATGCTAGACTTGCAATCTACTCCAACATGATCATCAGAGATTTTAGCACGTGGCTCTTTGGGAGCCTACCTCATTGCTCACATAGGTAGTTTTGGTAAAGTTGTTAGTTAAAAAGTCTCCTTATTCTAAGTCTCCACACATGAACCAAAGTTACCTACTTCAAGGATAGCTTCACTGATGCAGGTGATAGTACTAGCATACGTTAGTAGGTGGTGTTTGTGAATTGTTCCAGCTAGAATGTCCTTGACCAACCTTCTGGTCATGGCCCTTTGACACCTAGCTGGGCTGGTCCTCAGATAACTGGCAGGTAGTCTTTTGCTGGGCTGACAGAAGAGAATTTTCCAGGCTACATTTCATTAAAAGAAAAGTCAAGGGGCAGGTAGGTAGTGCAGCATAGATAGCACGCTGGGCCTACAGTCAAGAGGACCTGAGTTCAAATTTTGCCTCAGACACTTATTAACTGTGTGATCCTGAACAAGTCACTTAACACTGATTGCCTCAAAAAAAAGGGGGGGAAGCCAAATATGAGGCTATATCTGGGTTTGAATTTCACAGTTCCTATTCCTTCCCCTGGATCATCCTTCCTCTCTTTTCTGCTTCTTGCTTCTATGCTACTGAATGCTGGAGGAAGGAAGCATTCCAACTGTACAGATATATATTCTATAATCTCATTGACAGAGTGTTGAATTATGTACAGAGAGCTAGCCGTGTAGTCAGAAAGACCTGGGTTCGAGCTCTACCTCTGACATATACTGGCTTTATGAGCAGGGCAAATTACATGATACTTCAGTGCCCCAGGCAGCTAATACTGTAATTTGCACAGAAGGTAATGATCTATATTGCCTACCTACAGTGATGAAATCATAGGACTCATTAAAAAAACAACTTACTCAAATGGACCTTCACTGCTGCATGTCCATTCTTTTATTATTTTGTGACTGATTTTCTAGCACTTTGCACAGCTTAAGCTATAAACCTTTACTTGTTTCTTCAAGCCCCATACATACCAATTCTCTCCTTTCCCTCTCAGCGGAAGACCTAATCTTGTACTTTACCAAGAAAATGGTGGTCACCTGCCATGAGGTTATTCTACACAATTCCCAAATCTGCTCAATACTGTCTCTCATTCATTCCTCCCTTATTACAGCCTCTAAGGAAGAGGTGACCCTTTCTCTTGCCAGAATCAACCCCTCTACTGCCTTTGATCCTCTCCCTTCTGTCTCTCTTTTTTGTCCTTTTCTAATCTTCAACTTTATTTTATTTACTGTTTCCTTTCCTAGTGCCTACAATCATGTCAAATCCTCCATATCCTTAAAAAAACAAAAACCCTTTATTTGATTTTCCATCCTTTGAAACTATTGTCCTATATCTCTCCTCCTTTTCACAGCCAAAATTCTAGAAGCCTTCTATAGCCTTCACTTCACCTCCCACTCATTTCATGACCTCTTATAATCTGGTTTCAGTCTCCACCACTTGACTGAAAAAGCTTTTTGCAAGGTTATCAACACTCTTAATTGCTAAATCCACAGACCTTCACTTTAACTTTATCCTTTTGGATCTCACTGTAGTGTTTAACACTGTCGACCAGTGAATGCAGGTGGCTTAACATTGTCCCCTCCCTAGATTTTCCCATTCCTGCTCTCTTCTGATTTCCCTCACTTCTTTTCTGATTACTCTTTTTCAGCCTCTTTGGCAAGGTCATTTCATTAAAGTCCTGCCCCCAGAGGGAGGTATACCCCAGGGATCTGTCCTCAGTCTTCTCTCTATACTTTTCTCTATATTACCAGTTCACATGGATTTAATTATCATCTCTCCATAAATGACTCCCAAATCTACATATCTAGTCCACATCTCTCTCCTGAGTTATATTTTGGATCACCAAGTACCTGCTGGCTATCTCCACTTGGTTGTTCCCATATGCATCTCGAACTCAACGAGTCCAAAACATAACTAACTCTCTTTCCTTCCCTCTCACTCTCTTCCCTATTTCTGTCAGGGACACTACTATCCTTCCCATCAATCAGGTTTAAAACCTTGACCTTATTTCTTCCCTCTGCTTGAGCCTCCCATGTCCACTCAATTGCCAGGTCATCCTGAGCATATCTCTATAATATAGTTCATAACTGTTCCCTTTTTTCTACTTGAGGCCTTTGCCTCAGTTCAGGCCTTCTGAATCTCTTGTCTCCACCATTTCAATAGTTTACCAGCTGGAATCCCTCTACCCTTTTTAATCTATCTTTTACTCTATTACTAAAGGGATATACTTAACATGACCATGCCACTGGTATCTTCCTCTTATCCCTAGTATAAAATATATGCTCCTTGTATTTGGCATTTAAGCACGCTCTTCACAATCTGGCTCTCAACTATCTTTCCAGATTAATTTCAAATTATTTCCCCTCATAGCCCTACATTACAGCTAGAATGGTCTCTCCTTTTTTTTTTGATCTTTTGGAACCCCTACCCCCTTCAAGGTTCACCTTGAACCTCTTAAATGAGATTATTCCTTTATTTGCTATTGCCCTCCTTCAGGCAAATTACTTTGCATATATCTCACATTTTCTTTTTTTAGGTTCAAGTGGTTTGCTCCATTAGAATGTTGTAAGCTCATCGAAGGCAGGGACTTCATTTGTGTCTTTGTATCTGCAGTGCTTAGCAGTACTTGTAAGTCCTTAATAAATATTTGTTGAATTGAATCATACAGCTCCATTAAAACACTTATCACTTAGACTTTTATATGGTCAATTCATAACAAACCCAGGAAGGTTTTTAGTCTTATCTTCCACAATAATCAGCATTTCCTGAGAATTCCTTAAAATTCTTAGGATATTGATTGGTTGATTGCATCGTGCCTCTAAGGGCTATGAGGAAGCCAAGTCATCTAGTATAATCCTATCATTTCCCTTCCTTATAAAAGAAAATTTAGGACCAAGGAGATTAGGACCTGCCCAAGGTCATACAAGTAGTGAGAGATTCAGCCAGGATCAGAACTTTGTGTGTTACTTAGCAATTTGCAGCAGAAAGTACACTAGATGTAGAATAAGTGAAAATGAGCTGAATTCTTGCTGTGCTATTTAACAGCAGTGTGACCTTGGGCAAATCACTACACTCTTTTTGGGGGGCTCAGTCTTTTCATCTGTAAAATAAGGGGCTTCGCCTACCTAGCCCAGGAATTGATAACATTTGTGAAGGATTCCATTGGCAGTCTGGTGAAGCCTATGGACTTCTCAGAATAACGCTGTAAAGTACATAAAAATAAAATATATAGGATTACAAAGGAACCTAAATATATTGGAATACAATTATCAAAAATATTTATCTATCTAGGGGTCTCAGGTTGAGAACTCTTGGATCTCTGAAATCTCTGGACCTCCATAGCCCTAGTCAACATCCTTTGCGGTTTACCTTTCATTGTCTACATCTGTTGGCACCCCCTTCTCCACCCCCCCCCCCACTTATTTCCTCTTTTCTTCTGGATCCCTGTTCCTGGATTCTGGCTTCCTCCCTTCGATTTTAGAGAAGGGGGTTTGAAGAAGGAACTAATTGTGATAGCAGTTGTAGGTGAGGGAAATTCAAGACTATCTCTTTTGCTTCATCCGACCATCCAACCTGTCACTGGAGTAACAGGAAAAACAGGTAAATTCCACTTTGGTTTCGATACTTGACCATGGGACTGGAGCCCAGCGCCTGGGGATTTCCCAGGGCCAGACCAAAGGCCTTCGAAAACCTCATACCAGCTTCACCCTTTGCCAGCTAGCCCTTCTCTAGGAGAATAAAATACCTGACCCGTTCAGCCTCTCAGTCAAAGAGAATGGCTTATGTGACTACATAAAGAAAAGGAGATAAATAAAGAAATAGAGAAAAAGGAGAAGGTCATTGTGTGCATGTGATGGTTTTGCCTTTTCTCCCCTTCTTTTTAAAGTGATCAAACCGCTTAAAGGGCTCCGGACAGGTCAAGGGCTGAACTGTCGACAGGTCAAGGGCTGAACTGTCTCCCAACTGCAGCCCGGAGAGGCTGGGGGAGTGGGACGCAGCTCGCTCCGTCCTGCAGATGCAGGCGGACACTGTCACTTCTCCGTGTCCCTGGCTAAGGCCGCCCGCCCACAGCCGCAGCGCTTTAGCACGCCCGGCTATGCGCCCCTCTCTTTCCAGGTGTGGGGCACGTCCCGCGGTTCTCCGTCGCCCTTGCTCAGGCCGGTGCCGGGTTTGGAGGCGTATGACCTCCGCTTGAGGAGGAGGAAAGGAGGTCGGCAGGGTGGGCACCGCAGTAGCGCCGCTTGTTTATTTTTAGGCGGTAGGGGGGAGGAGGAGGAAGAGGAGGAGGAGGAGGAGCGAGAGAAGGTGGGGAGCTAGAGCTGCGTCGCTGCCTCCCAGCGGGGACCCCGCTCACCCCGGCGGAGCGCAGCCGGCGCTGGGAACTGCCGCTGCAGCAGCGTGAGCCCTCCCCCCCCTCCCCTAGGCCGCCCCCGCCCCGTCGCCAGGTCTCCCGGGGCGGTGTTGGCAGTCAGCCGGTGGCGGCGGCGGCGGCAGTGGTGGTGGTGGCGGCGGTGGCGGAGGCGGCGGTGGCGGCCTCTAACCTCTCCCTCCAGCTTGCTCGGACCTGCCCTGGGGAAGGATAGGGAGGGAAGGAGGGGGCGGAACGACCCCTGCGTCCATTCTCCCATCTCCAGCGGCGGCCGAGTCTGCAGAGGACCGGGGGCGTGTGCAAATGGCTAGTCTTGGCTTGGGTCTGGAAGAGCTGCAGCACGACCCTCCTCCGGAGCCAGCCTTCCACGAGGCGCAGAAGTGGATCGAGGTAGGTGCCCGCCCTTGGTCGGGCTGGGGGAGTGGAGGGAGAGGCAGCCGGACTGGAGCCGGACATCATCCCTGACGGCGAGGGGAAGCAGCTCCGGGTCGCCCGAAGCGACCGCGCTGCGACTTCGCTGTCATGTTGGCAGGAGGAGTCTCCTGCGGAAGGACACCTGAATTGGGGGTTTGCACTGTAATTGTAGGGGCGGTAGGGGGAGGGAAACCGGCACTCTCTCCCAAGCCTGGAAATCTCAGCTCCAGCAGATTTCTGTGCTCTGAGCTGTCCTTTTCTATGCGCGATCGAGAAAGCGCTGCAGGAAGAGAGGACCCACAGATTCCTCGGTTTGGTGCACATCCTATTTATTGGAGGTGTTGGCTGAGAGCCAACCAGATTTCCAAAGATCTACCAAGGTTTCCAAAATCTGTCTGTCTACTCCTCACTCTAGTCTGCAAAAGAGGCTGACGCTAAGTGCTGGAGACTGGGGGTAGGAGAGGAAAGGAGAGATGTCCCTAGCTATTGAAGCCTTTTTCTGTCTTCCTGTAGTGTGTATAAGGTACGCAGTGACCAAAACTGAGGTGCCTTTAAGGTCTGAGGCAGCAGAATACCTGCAGATCCTAGGTCGGAAAAGTAAAGGGGGGGGGGAAGGGGAAGGCAACAGGGAGTGTGGAGCGCCCTCTTTCCCCTATGTTACTAGAGGTGGAATCTTTTTAGTTGTGTCAGGAATCCAGAATGTTTGATCCAGAATGTCATTTTTCACTTCTTATTGACTAAGGTGGTAGGCCAGAGAAATCAGTAGAACCACTCATTCTTAATCTAGGAGGCTCTGAACCACTTGGGTTGGGTTATTCTGATTCACGATGAATATCAGTAGATGTAGACCTGAAGTTTGAAATGCTTGAAATAGCCCTTTCAGAGGATATGCAAGGGGACCCCTGGACTCCTTTGGGAGTGAAAAGGAAAAGGAGAACCTTTGTACTGGGGATAATATAATTTTTTTAACAACTTTTGGGGTTGTAAAACTAATTATTAGGGGGTTTTTTTAGGTTTTTAAGAAATGCACAATTGTTGGTGATGCTGCTTCCCTTAATTAGTTAATGAGATGGAATTCACAGTTCTCAATTGTCACTGATTGAGGTTTAAGCAGTGATTAAGCATTTCAGAGTTCTAGCCTGTTAACCTCCCTTCTGAAAGGCAAACAGGCACACACATACACTTATGTCCTAGTATATATATAATTATTGTGCTGGGGACTCGGTAGACTTTTACTTCCAGCTACCCAAATGCATGTTGGACCTACAGACATTAGAACTTTGGTGTGTCTTACAGGTATGCCCAATTAAACCTTTATTCCTTTATGTAAATTACTCCACTTTTACTTCCATTTCTGTCAGTTTACAAGCATTTATTGTAGGTGCTGGGAGTACAGCAAATTCAGGAGAGGGACAGTACTTGCCCTCAAAAGGCTTAACTTCTACACAACTGACTTTAGAATATGTGCCCTTTTATTTTTTTTGGATACTCAACTAAAGAAAATTCATGTTTTGATAAATAGTCTTACTATTGGCAGCAGTGGCTGCCACGTTTGTTTGAGGCACATGTGAAGCACCTGTAATAACTGGGTTAGTAGACATCTGGATAAAGTATCCAGATGCTTTAACTTAAATTATTTAACTTCCTGGGTTTTAAAAAAAATCTTAAGTTGGGGCAAGAACACACTCTGAGAGTATCCATTGTGGTAAATGGTCTGTACCAATTACCATAGGAAAAATACTGGTGCAGCTGCCTTTTAAAGTGTGGTGTCATTCAGATTGAGTAATATCATGAAGCAGGTAATTATCAGATTTTGCTCTGGTTCCTCAGTTAAAAGAGTGTGTTTGTTGTTCGGGGGCGGGGAGGGAGCACTTGATTTTGTCACATTTCCTTGGGCTATATACATTAGCTCCCATGGAGGCCCATCTATGGCTGCTTCTGTGTTGTCCTTGTTCCGCATATTTTCCACTAAAATATGAAAACTGAAGCTGGATGTGTTAGTAGAATTAAAGACTTTCTAAATGCACCATGCCTGGGTTGTGGGACTTTTCTTTTGAACCCCGTGTGCATTATTAAAAGAGCATATCTCCTTTCATTTACAGCATCTCCATTTCATTGAAAGGCTATCTTCACTTCGCAAGGATATAATAAGCTACTACCAGAGGGGGGAAAAGAGAATCTGCCTTAGTTGGTTTGTAGTGGTTAACAACCTTGAAATGTTAATGCTGAGTCTGCAAACCAGAATTAACTCAAGAGCCCCAACAGATGGTTTTGGAGAGAACCCTGCCCTTTGAACAAAGCTTCCTAGGCTAATATAGTAATATAGCTGCTAGTGTAACTCCTGGGGATATTGTTATCTTCAGACAATCTCGTCTCCTCTAGTAGCTGCATTGTTCTGCTGCTACATCCTCATCATTGCGGCTTTGTTTTTACTTGGTTCTCTTGGTGATTGGTTCCCACAGGCTGTCACTGGTCAGGAATTTCACCATTTCCTAAGAAGGCTTCCCTACATGGAATAGGTTAATAATAAAAAAATGTTTTAATTTTTGCCTGCACCTCGCGGCCCTTCCACTTTGTATATGTTGGCTAGAGAATATTCATTCTTAATACTAATACTTAAAAAAAAAATTTAAAAACCAGCCTAGGAAAGACATTCAGTAGACATAGCCTATTAATGAGGACTCTCTCAGGATCTGTTGTCCTGCCTTTTTGAGGAATACTTTACTGGGCAGGAAACCTGGTAAGGGAACTCTGGGCTATCTTTTACCACCACTGGCAAAGGTCGGATTCTGAATGGGAGTCAGACTTAGAATAGTCGAGGTTGATGTGGGTACAGATAGCGTTGCTCAGCGACACTTCCAGCAACTTTTAATAGCTCTGGAATCAGGTTGAATATTTTACTGTGGGTATTAGGAGAATGGAGGAGAAAGGCAGCTCAGAAAAGAGAAGGCAAAAAAAGTCAGGCAACATTGACCTTGCTTAGTTACAATCTGCAGTGGGTTCTCCAGACCTCCCCAGTTGTGGCTAGTTTGGAAAGAAAATGTTATAAATCCCAAGTTCTAGTGTAAAAACATAAATTAAAACTTCCCTGACATCATCTCAGCTACAAACAAAGGGTATCTTGGGATAGAAATGAAGTTATAAGCTTCATATTACCAAAACACATGAACATTATTTTTGTTTTAGAGGAAAATCTTAAGTCACGTGAACTCATACAATAACTTCTGCTATATTAAAGCGTAAAAAAATTACCCATTACTGTAATATGGTGCATTCTATACCAAAAAATAGGAACTATCTATACTTGAATATTTTTAGCCTGGGATTCAGAATTAGTGTGGGTTAGTGAATAGTGAATATATGTATCAGGGGCAACTAGGTGGTGCAGTAGATAGAGCACCGGAGTCAGGAGGACCTGAGTTCAAGTGTGGCCTCAGACACATTAGCTATGTGACCCTAGGCAAGTCACTTAGCCCCAGTTACCTCACCAAGGGGGAAATATATGTGTGTGTGTGTGTGTGTGTGAGATCTCTTGCTAAGAGAATCCTCCTGGACTGCACTAGAAATGTTTTGTAGTGGGTAGGTGATTTCACTCCATTTTTTTTCAATAGTCCCTTATTAATTTATATTTACAGATAATGAAATTGAGACCCAAGAGAGTTTAAGTGACTTGGCCAAGGTTATACCTCTGTTGTCAGAAGTAAGATTTGAGCTCATGTCCTCTTAGACTTCAGAATCAGTGCTGTTTGTCTCATAGTGAAACTTGGTTTCACATTTGTGATTCTGGACTGGGCTGCTAGGGTTTTGGGAGAGGCTGGGCTCTGTCAACATGGGTGTAAGGATTTTCTCCAACTCTTTTACTTATTATCCTTAGGAGGTTTGTTTGTGATCCAATTAAATTTTCACTTGGGTGGAGAAATTAGTGCTTGGAGTGAATACTTGATTTGATCATATTCTAATCCCACCCCACCCCTTACCCCTTGTAGGATTATTTTCTTCTCTCAGGTTGGGTTTGGTTCAATTCAAATGAGAGAGAGACAGAGACAGACACACACACACACACACACACACACACACACACACACACACAGAGAGAGAGAGAGAGAGAGAGAGAGAGAGAGAGAGAGAGAGAGAGAGAGAGAGATGTATCTTTTTTTTGGGAGGGGGGAGCAACCAAATTAGTAGGCCACTTTAGCTCTCCAAGGTTGAATTTTTAATGTTACTTGGCAATGAAGTAATGCTTGTATGTGTCTAACCTTTGAGATAATCCAGCATTTAGTGATCAGTAAAGTATTAAATGACTGATGTAAGTACTAAAATGAACATGTGTCATTTGTCATTCATTCTAATTCTTTACATCTGTAGGGTTTTGAGGACTTGTATAACTTTTAATTATAATCAAGATGTAAGTTTTCTTTACTGTCGTCTTTGGAGAGCCAAGGGATAGGAATAAAACCTTTCTGGCTAGATAAATAGAGGAAGTAGTAATCTGTGAATAGATATGCAAATTAGACTATAATGCATCTTTCTTACAGTGACATTTAAATAGTCTGAGTTGTTTGTATACACGGGCAGCTATTACACAATGCAGTCACATGATTGGAGAACTGAGGTCCCAGTCTTTGAGGCGGACGGGATAGGCGGTGGGGCTGGTACTTCTTGCCTAGGAGTCAGCCTGGAGACTGATTTATCATCAAATGAGCTCCAGATGGGCAGAGCCAGAAGTATTGGCTATTTGCAGCAGAGTAGGCAGGATTAGGCTTGTGCTCCCAGCAGCTTGGTTCTCCTGGCTCTGCCTACACTTGGCTGACCGAACAGGATGGAGCTGCCATCCCGGACATCTGGCAGTGCCTTCCCTGATTATAGTCAGTGCTAGGTGGGACAAGGCAAGATCGCAAGCCTTTGGCAGCCCCTGAAGATGCATTGTCAGTTGACATTCTTCATCAGTTAGTGATTATAGCTACAGAACTAAAAGG